AGAAGCCAAAGTTCTCAAAATCCTGGGTTTTCTCACATGTCGTTTCCTGCCTTTTGCTTTAGGACAGAGCAATATATAACTACAAGAGCTGATGCTTAATGAATTTTAGCTGCTCTCTGCATTCCGTTCCCTCTAGGCTTTAACAATGTTGGGTTTTTTTGGCTTAGCGTGGTGTGCATGAAAAATTGAGGGAAATGAAAATTTTGAAAAAAATTCTTTTACAAAGTAACTTTATCTCTCGTTGGAAAAAGTAAGGAAATTTTTTACACTTATATAGAGAAGCACTTCTTCTGACTCTTAAAGAAAGGCAAGTCTCGCATCGTCGTCGTCATTGCTCGACTCGGATTTAAATTTGAATTTGGTCAAATAATCTGATTAATTGATTAACTTTTTTTGGATAAATAAATAAGTATATTTGTTAATATTAACATTTTATGACCGTTTTCGTAACGACAATTTTAACTTTTCCCTCATTTTATTTCTTGTAGTTTTTCAGATCAGCCACTGGTGAGGCCTTTTTCGTAAACAGCCACTAGAAAGGATACAACTTTTGAGTTGCACTTTTTGAGTAATTACTCAACCTGTTGGCTGTATATATTTGGCCATTCCTTACGATTTTTCTACGGAAATTTTGAACTCTCCTCTTCCTTTCTGCACTTCAAATAAAAGTGTGATTTTCTGCCGCTATTTGTGTTCGTTAGTAATTGGTGTTTGAACTATCATCACACTCACACCAGTGAGGTTGATGCGTTTTATCCTAAGAGGATATAATCCTAAAAATTCAAAAGGGGATTAAGTTTCTCAAAAACACACTGTGGAATCAGTGGCTTGAATTTGTATCTTTCTCTCGTTTATGTTTATGTCTTAACATTTCAGAATTAATCTTCGAATACAGAAAGATAACAAAAAATGGCCCGCTTAATTGGAGCTTTCCTCTCTAATATCTTCCTTAGTTTTGTTCACAACTTTCAAACGTAAAAATTGGGCGTCCCTTTTTAACCTGTAGCCACTTTGTTTTTTTGTTTGCACCCGTTTTCGTTTTTTTGTTAAAAGCCTTTAAAAAAGACGATTTTGTCCTTCTTTATTAAAAGACTACTTTCTCTCCAAGTATATGCTAGTCCTTTATGTTAAAACTAGAATTTTCTCAAAGGAAGCTAACAGTACACCTATGTTATTTCAAGGAACAATGCAAAGTCGTTAAGCACATTTTAGGACTTTTCAAGAACCAAAAATGGGAGGAAAAGTTGATTTCATCACCAATAAATTCACTTTCATATTTTCTTTTCTTCTAGCACTACAGAAGGATGATCTTAAAAAGCCTTTGCCACTACCTCTTTATAGCGAACATGCATGGAAGAATTCACTGGAAAGAGAATCTCCATCTTTTTCATGATTGATTATACCTGTGATTGCACGTTCCCACGGTGTCGAAATATACTGCGAGCCATTTTGTAACTGGTGAACTTCAGCTTTAGGAGCTGAAGTTTTTGTTTTTGTAATTGGTGAACTTCAGCTCTAGAGCTGAAGTTTTTGTTTTGTAACTGGCGAACTTCAGCTCTAGAGCTGAAGTTTTTATTTTGTAACTGGTGAACTTCAACTTTAGGAGTTGAAATTTTTGTTTTTGTAACTGGTGTTTGTTTTATAACTGGTGAACTTCAACTCTATAGCTGAAATTTTTGTTTTTGTAACTGGTGAACTTTAGCTCTAGAGCTGAAGTTTTTGTTTGTAACTGGCGAACTTCAGCCTTCTTAGAGTTGAAGTTTTAACTAACTTTCTATATGATTCGAACGTTGAAAGTATTAGATGGAAATACTGGTGCTCACTAACTTATGTAATCCTCTTGGTCAGATTCCTCTAATTTGGTATACTTCTTAAATACCAAATTGATGAACTAAAATCTTTCTATCTCCACAGCCCATGTCAATTACTAGAACATTTTCACAATCAGCGACTTCAGAAAGGAGTGGCCTATCGGATTGAGGGCAGATATAACTTTGAGGGATAGTAGAGTGGCGGATTCCGCGGGACAAAACTTTTGTTTCCATGGAATATATCTGGCTATCCAAAGCATATGAAAAAAAAGGGATTTTTCGTTTTGGAAGGGGTATAATGATCATATTATTACAGATTTTTTGTTAGTTGGCTACAAATCAATAGTTTTTAAAAATAGGGTACATGTTAAAAGGCGGCATAAATATAGAGTATGGCTGCAAATCGCCCCTCTTAAACCTCGAATCATCTTCCCGTATACTTTGGTTTTACATTCTGGGAAACGTATGTCTTTTCAGCCTTCTTCAGATAAAACCCAATAAATTTTGGACCACTTTTTGACATTGGGCCCAAAACAGGAAACTGTCGACGATAACAAATTTCTTTTAAGTTATTAAATGCTTTTCTTTTAAACTAATTGAAAGTAAGAAAGATTTATTATGAGACGGCAGATGATATTGATTAGTAATTAAGTTGTCTCCACGGAATTGCCGACAATTACTTTAGGTGAATGCCACAAAGTCATGAAATTATGAATTTAATCGGGTCATTTACTTCTGTACCCAGTTTGGGGTCACAATTGTATTTACACACACTTTGCACAAAAATTTACAAGCCTACTCACTTTAGGATCAATCTCAGACTTATCGAGTATGAAATTAAAAAATATTAGTTTAAGTGTAATGTATTTAAGATTAAATAGGTCTGAAGTGTAACAAACACTTTCATGCACTTAAGGTCAAATAGGTCTGAAGTGAGAGAAATTATATTTCAGATGTATTTAAGGCCAAATATGTCTGAAGTGTCAATGTTTTCATGCACTTAAGACTTAAGACACCAGTAGGTCTAAAGTACAAATTGCCCCGAAAAAATATATTTGTTCAAATTTTAACAATCCAATATACGATTTAACAATTAAATCTACTTTAAATGAGCTCACATTTGAAACATAACCTCCAAATATCATCAAGAACAAACCCCAATCATCAATTTGTCAAAATAAAAATAAATCCCCATTTTGTAATTAAGGAGGAGGAGAAGAAGAAGAAACCCTCAGCGGTAGTAAAGCATAAAATACCACAATAGCTCACCACTATAAAACCCCAAAATATACATTAAAATATGCTCACAAATACTATATGAATTCACTATCACCTTTATTTTCACGGAAGAAGAAGGAGGAGGAGGAGGAGGAGGAGGAGAAGGAGGAAGAGAAAAATGTCTGAAGTTGTCTAAACTTTTAGTACTAGTTAAAAAAAATTAAAAAAGTGGGTACATGTTAAATTGGAGCGATCAAATAGGATGCCCCGTGCAATTTAACAAATTTAATAAAACCTTTTTGGGCCTAATTTTTCATTTTTCTCAGACAATTTCCAGTATATATTTATATATATACATGAAAGCTAGTAATCGAGCCATTGGCGCAACCAATCTCCAAATGAAATTTCCATTTAGTAAAAGCTTGACGTTTTCCAACCTTCAATTCCCACCGGAAAAGAAGGACCAAAGTAAAATTGCAAAAGTAAAGCTTGCTGTTCATGTGAACTGGGGATTATTACAAAGTAAAATTTGATCATGTAATTAGCGAAATAAAGATCTAGAAACGATGCACACACCCAAACTTGTAGTTGATGATAGATATCAAGGAGGAATTTTTTTGTCACGTTCAAAAGAATAAGTGAATAATTTTGAGCTGAAATTTTGTAACTGTAGTTTTGAGTCTCGTCTAAATACTCACTAAACTAATGAGGATCGATACATATAATCAATAATAAAAGCTCCGTTCACGGTACATAAAAGACCGTCGTCGGCCATTACCTTGACCAATTCCTTCTCCCAACTTGTTTCCTCGAAATCATCCTCACAGGATAATGGTCAAAATTACTAACACCTTCCTCCTTATTAGTCGGACTCTATTATGAATTCCTGATCACATTCTTTATAGGCCCTCTTATCTCTTCCTTTTCCGAGCTTTGCTTATGGTAGAAGATATCAACAACAATATATACGGAGAAAATCGGGCCCATGGTACACTCTGGTTTCCGATAGGATAAACCGAGTTCGAGGCATGATGACAACGGACCGGAATCAAGGTAAGGGTATCATCGAGTCAGAATTCGAGAGCATAGCGCTCGCCCTCAAGAATATCGAAGTCAAGATTCGGGATCAGTCCAAACCCGAAAGTCTTCAAGAACATTGTCAAGCAATCAAGCACGACCAACAGAAGGCCGTAATATTCGTGACCGGCTGGATATCACGGCGTGAATCTCGGCACATATTGATAAGGAACCGGCAATCGGTTAAAAAGAATTTTTTTTTTGCCTTTTATGGAATTGAACCTAGAGTATAATTCCTCTATTAAATAAAGGGGGTGGGGAGGGGGTATGATAATTCATTAGACACATTGTAACACGCATGCAAAGCAATATACTACGATTTTCTCCGTTATTAACTCTTTTTCTTGTCCATCAGTGCTAGCCATTGCGAACCAAAATCGGGGTGAATATTTCACTACGACTGGAATCTTCCTCCTCGTGTGGTTTGTATTCATTATATCTTTTTCACCAATATAACTCAATTTATCGTTTTGTATCAAATTAATTTGCGTATTCTTAAAACCACTTACAAATTTAATTATTATGGGACAACTCGTAATGTTCATATCGATTTATTATGCGCCTCTGCATCTAGCATCGGGTAGACCTTATATAATAACTGTCCTACTCTACCATATCTTTTGTTTTATTTGGTTTAGAATAACACACTGGATCTAGGTCGTTACGATACTTAAGTCTCTAATGTCAAAAGAAGGAATGAACAGTTTTAATCCTCTCAACAATTTCCTTTCAAATTCATAACAGGAAAATTAGAAACACAAGTGGCATCTAGTCATAGTATAAATTTTCGTCGTCGTCATTCATAATAGTACACAGAAGTAGCGCATATACAACCAAGGAAAAATTAAGAAAAGTAAAACAGAAGTACAACTTGAGAGCAATAAATTAAAAGGATCAGGCTTTGAAGCACGTCCACAAGTAGTGGTGGTGGTGGGCGGCGTTATCTTTGTCTATGATACCCTCAACGTAACGAAACTCCTCGACATGACAAGGGATATTAACTGGACCATTGTGATGAAATCCGTACTCTTTCTCTGCTTCTTTCAACAACTTGGTGAAGAGGGGATGATTAATGTGCATTACAGGTATTACGAACTTTTGTTGCTCCTCTCCTTGACCTACCAACACCGTAACACAACCTCTTGGGATGTCCCTCAATTCATCCTTTTGATGATGATGATGATGAAGGTGAAACGGCACATGAACATGGAAATTCAGATGATGGCGTTTTTCTCCGCTCCCCATCCCTGCTGAGATTAATTAATAAGATCCAACCAAAGTTTTTCTTTTGAGTTTTTGTGAGGCAGAATATGTAATGTATTGAAGGAAATGTTAGAAGAAGAGGAGAGAGAAAGGCCAAGGATCAGAAGAAGAGATGGCTAAATTGAAGAGGGTGAGGGAAGAATCTGTTAAAGATCTCGGAACGTTGCTCATAATATATTTATTTATGAGGTATAATTAAGAATGGTTTGAATTTGATATGTTGTTGAATGGGAAAGAGATGGCTATTTATGCAAATTGGCAGAGGTGGATTTGAGGAATATGTCAATAACTCTTCACCGACTCTTGACGCATAAGAATAAGAATTAGAAGGTGCGTTCCAGATAAGGAGGAGACTCGTTTTGTATGTATATCTACATGGCATAGGGAGGTTTAAATGTCCTCCCCTGGTGACGGCTGGCCACAATTTAAGGGAAGTGGTTGGGTTGGGTTGCGTTGGGTTTCGTTTGAATTGAATATCTGGACTTTTATCTCATGTGTTAAAGATTTGAGCAATTACCATGACCACTGTGAACGAATAGTAGCTTCTTTGTCTTTTCGGGATATAATTAATCTAGACGTGTCCATTATAAATTAATAGTAATTCTTTAATTTGTACAGGAAAAGATATATACATAAGATAATGTATTATTTATGCTGGGAAAGGAAGGACGTGTCAACCTTTTAAAGATTATTTTTATTAACATATCCTTTATTTTCAGGTAATTTTAATTCCACGTACTCGTGTGCTTGGATATAAATAAAAGTCTTTTCTAAAATGACTTACAAGCTGGAACTCACCTGGAAGTAAGAAAAAAGTGGCTGATTATAGAGACTGATTTCAAACCAAAACTTCTGGAAATTGTTAAATGGCCATGAAATTTTCTTTTGATTAGTGGTTGTTCTGAGTAGGGGAGGGCATATATCAGTTCGAACCGAAAAAACCGACTGAACCAAATTTTTTTAATTTCGGTTTCGGTTATTCGGTTTTTTCGATCGGTTTCAAATTAAAATTTTTAAAATTCAGTTTTTCGGTTCGGTCGTCGGTTATTGATTTATTTTTTTCGGTTAACCGAAAAACCGAATTATTAGTACATGGATTCTTTAAAATATATATTCCATACTTATATTGGCTAAGGCCCAATTTTAAGTTCCATAAAAATTAGCCCATCCCAAACCCAATTGCCCAAAATCCAAATACGCTAGGGTCCTTCTCAGTTCACTCATAAGCTCCTTTTCTTTTCTCATTCTTAGGCTAGGGCTTTTCTTTCTCCCTTCTCTTCTCAGTTCTCTCTATCGGCAGTTCCGCCCCCCAAATACGCTAGGGCTTCCATTGATACACTGGTGGTTTTCCCAAATACGCTAGGGATCTGTCATTGTCGTCAAATTTCTTGTGGCGGTAAGCTTAATTTTTGTTATATTTCGCTCATTTTTTTTTGTGTTCTCTACTCCTCGCCGATCTTCTCTTCTTTCTCTCGTTTCAGTTTATTTTTTATTTTTTTCCTGCTAAAAGTTAGTATTTAAAGACTTAAAGTGCATGCAACATATATATTGTTGAAAGAAGTCTTGACTCTTGAATGTGATGTCCATTTTCTTGTAATATTTGTTGGTTTCAGTGTTATTGAGAGGTTCTAACTTGTTATTAAAACAAGAAAAGCTCACTGCTCAGTATTTTATTGTTATGCTTGTATTCTTTTTTGTAGATGGAAGAAAATGGAAGTAAGGTAAGCGAAACCTGCGAAGGTGGGGGTTCAAATGATAGCATACCTAATTGAAGGTCTCAGGTCAGACAGTCCTGATGAAACTCCAAAGAAAAGGAAAGCGATGCAACCTAGATCTGATGTTTCGAAACATTTTGAGAAGTATGATGATCCTAGTGGAGCTAAAAGAGCAAAATGTAACTACTGTCAAAAAACTTATGTTGTTGCTACGAAAGGTAATGGTACTACATCAATGAACAATCATCTCACTAAGTGTCCCAAAATGCCCCGTAGCATGAAAAATAGTCAAACACAAATCAGTTTTCTACCAGCTTCAAATGGGGCAAATGAAGGGGTGCTTACCACTTGGAAATTTGATCAAGCACTTAGTAGGAGAGCTTTAGCTCAAATGATAATTTTGGATGAACTGCCATTTAGTTTTGTTGAAAAGGAAGGATTTAAGAAGTTTATGAGAGTCACAATGCCTCAATTTCAAATTCCTTCTCGTAGAATATTGACAAGAGATTGTTATGAACTTTATTGTGAACAAAGACATAGTTTGAAGAAGTCCTTCAATGAAGCACGTCCTAAAATCTGTCTTACAACAGATACTTGGACTTCTATTCAAAGAATAAACTATATGTGTCTTACTGCTCACTTTATTGACAAAGATTGGAAATTACATAAAAGGATAATAAACTTTTGTCCTATCTCTAGTCATAAGGGTAATGATATGGCATCGACAATTACTAATTGCTTGCTTGATTGGGGTTTGAAAAATGTATTTACTATAACTGTAGATAATGCTAGTTCCAATGATGTCACAGTAAGAGAAGTGTCTAAACAATTGACTACTTGGGGAACTAATATAATGAATGGTAAACACCTGCATGTTAGATGTATGGCTCACATACTTAATCTCATTGTACAAGATGGGTTGAAAGAAATTGGTGTTTCTATCAAGAGAGTTAGACAAGCTGTGAGATACATTAGACAATCTCCCGCTAGGATTAGAAAGTTTAAAGAATGTTGTGAATCTCAAAAGTTAACTTCCAATAGATCATTATGCTTAGATGTTTTAACTCGATGGAACTCTACATACATGATGTTAGACACAACACAACAATTTGAGCTTGCCTTTGACAAATATAGTTTCTTTGATATTGGATTGTTGTATCATCTTCGTACCTATGTATGTGAAGATGGAACTAGTGCAGGTGATCTCACAAGTGCTGACTGGGATAATATGAGAACAATGGCAAAATTTCTTGAAGCTTTTTATTTGCTTACTTTGAGGGTCTCTGGTTCTATTTATGTCACTTCCAATGTGCATTTTATTGCAATTTGTGAGCTTGATCTTATTTTGAAAGAGTGGGTGGAACATGAAGATACTAGTTTGAAAGAAATGACAAAAAAAATGAAAGAAAAATTTGCCAAGTAT